TTATAAATAAAATCACAATCATTACAACCACCCTAAAAACCTTCGCCCAATAATATAAATTCAAAAATAAAAAATCACTACAATTTTAATCCTTACCTTAATTATATTATTTTAATTTTATAAATATATATAAATTATATATATAAAATCAATATTATAATTTTATTAAAAACAATAAAATAAATTTAAATCCTATCAAATGTTTTTATAAATTATATAAAAATAAATATTCCAATTAAAATATTTTTCGGGCATAATATTTAAAATAATTTTCGGCATGGTTCGCCTAAATAAATCAATTTTGAACCTTTTGGTCTGAAATAACAGGTCTCATTTAAAATAAAACACAAAAAATGGTTCCCTACTCCTCCTGTTTTTTTTTTAATTCAAAATTGCTACTAAAATACAATCCACCTACAAAATGGTGTGCCCAAAGCCCAAGGCGGTTTTGGGCATACAATTTTATTGAAAAACCAACTGTTTTGGCCCTCAAGCAAAGCCTTTTGGTAGGGGAATTTTAACGTTCATGTTTTTCATGTTTTTTTCTATTTTTTTAGGAATAAGGATTAATCGACATTGACTCATTGATATTATTATCAATAATATTTTTTTTGTATCTCATTCATCTGTTTCTTCTTCCATATTTTTTCGCACTGGCAGCCTGGGATTTCAGGATGGTTATCTCTATGGAAGGTGGGGAGGCAATGTTCGTCTCTGATGGAGCAAAAAGCAAAAGCTGAGGAACAAAGGAAGCAAGGAAACCACTTGAAGCGAAATGGAACCTGGTTTGCCGAAGCTTACTCAACTATCAAGCCATCGTCATATTGCTATACAACATAGACAGGCCTCCAACTTGAGGTGTCGTCCAGCACTTGACACTGGAATCTCCGACACATCAGCCGTAAGCATGTAACAAAAAAACTACCATGGTTCCAAACTCCGCTCACTATTGAGCCCCTTGAAGTAATGCCATCTTCCAGGCTCCGTTGCGTTTCCCAGCGGGTTTTTCTGGGCCCCGTTGCGGGGCAGTAGGTCCCGCATCCATTTCCCCTTGAGGGTTTATAGCCACCACCTTGGACATGGTCAAGGTTTCCGGCCAGGTGACTTTCCAACAATGAGGGTCTATTCAGGGCAAATCTTTACCACCAACAACCTTTTAATGATGGCTTATTAAGCATCTAGAAAGGGACAATTAGCCCTCTGACATGGAAGATGGATAGAAAAAAAACTCAATTTGTGGATTTGGAAGGTGATTTTCTGTGACTGGACATGAGAATTGCTGGGTTAAAGGTTGGGAACCAACATCCCCATCTGAAACACCTTGAAGATGATGTAAAACAGCAAGCCTGCTGTAAGTAAAGGGTGGGTGTGGCTCAAAATTACGGACGCCTGGATGGCCAAGCAACAATCGATACAATTTCCAAAGTGACCACACCCGACAGACATCTTTATCCAATCTTGTGCCCTTGGAAACTCAACGCAGGGGTTCTCAGTGGGTTTACAACGTAAACTTGGTTATACAACCCCATCTGTATATGTATGTATATATATGTATATGTATATATATATATATCTCTATTATAAATATATG